TGTTAGGCCTAATTAATTTTAGAATGCTTTAAAGTATTGCAGTTGTGATGTGTTTTAATACGTGATATGATGAGGCTGTTGACGAACTGTGGTTGTTTTTTAAATTAATGACAAATTTTTTTAACTATCTGTTATCTTAGAAAAACTGATGATGGAGGAGAAATACACCGAAACGTATTTTGATTAATAAATAAAGACAATAAATGACTGAAACCCAGGAATAAATTTGATTCTCGATAGTTTCGATAGCTGATAGGAAAAACCCAGATGTTTTGCCGATGTACGAAGCAACTTTAGAGACTTTTGCCTTGACTTTTTAAGATATAATAGACACTTAAAACGATGTTGGATGCTGAAAAATTATAATCGAAGCTCTAGACAGCGTTCTGTCGTGTTCCAATCAGTGTCGTGCCCGAAGGGTTCATTCCGAGAAACGATTTGGGGTCTAAATGCTGAAAAAGTGCCTTAAAAATGTGAACATTATTTTTTCGCGTCCGAACCACTGTCGTCCCCAAAGGGCTCAACTTTTTAAACAGATTCTGGGCTTTACATTGTAAAGTAGTTTCAGGCTGAACTCAGTTTTTAAACGAAAGAGTACAAATAAAGCTCCCCATAGGGTTTTATAGCATTTGAACCAGTGTGGCGTCCGAAGAACTTCCCTAAAATAGGGGGAGTTTGACTCCAAACCCAAATGCGCTAATAAAAGAACGCTGCTGGCATCAAACTTTAACTGTTGAAGTCGTCTTCAAGGCACATCAAAAGCTTTGGTAAAGTAAATGCGTTTGGTTGCAATTTCCATTGCAGTAACTTAACGCAAGTCGAAGTGAAACTTCCAAACCGTTCCAACTTGTAAACCAATTTTCAGCTAATTAATTTTAAATACGGAGTGTTGATTTAATTAAAAGTGAAAATTCGGCGATAGCGCGATCGGAAACTAGTGCGTCAGCTTGCTGAAAACTTTTCCAAATGGAAACTCAATTAGCTTTCAGGATTGGGCGGTGCAGTTGAATCCGAAAAATTGAATCAGCTAGTTGTCCACTTTTGAAAATCACAAAATCCGCTTAACCGTCACGAATGGATAAATCTCAGGAGCGCAATCCATATAAATAAAGGCTTTATGATTTATATTTGAGAGGTGCGCAAAAAGTATGATTTATGTTCGGCAATGGCATGACTTCAGGGCATTCCGCTGTTCGGAACTTAATCGAACGGTCATATTTTCAGCAACTGGGTCACGTCGGAACAGACTGTGCAACAAATCTTTGCAGAAAAAATAAATTGAATCCGACCGGAATTGGACTTGTATCTTCGAATTATCACCAGCACGTCTAGCTGGCGAAAGCACTTCAATTAATTGAAGTTGAGTTGTTACTTGCTGCGGGGTGAAATTGATTTTTCCTTATAAAATATGAGCGGAACTCTTCAATTTACGGGGGCAGTTAAAGGAAGGCCCAAGTTACTTAACATCTTCAACGAAATGAGATCATTCTAAGGCCCTTTAGAAATCAGACAAGGTTTGCAGTTTCACATCTTTGGCCTTCCAAACTGTTTGGGGTTTTCAAATCAGCTGAGACTGTTTGGTCTGACGAGTCAGCGAGTTTAAAAGGAGTTTCACTCCAGTCCCAAACCCCCCACGAGAACAAACAAAATCCAACTTTCATCGATAATTTGGTCCTGCGTTTGAAGAAAGAACATGCTGTTTTCATTTGGATTTTTGGACTTCAACACATGCGAAATTGCCGAGCAGACTTTCCGAGTTCGACACCAGTTTGTCGGGGAAACATTTTGAATCAATGTTGATTTTATTTAATTTTGTAGATCCGAGACCCTCCTGCACCATTGAATGTTTCACCGGCGCTAAATAATTCGGCATGTACCCTTTTAAATCGAAAATATACGTCCCATGAAAAGCCCCTTCAATTTTTAATGAGACTAAATTTAGCGAACCACGTTCACTTGTATATCTATGTAATTTAAAATTGCCCACTCTTGTCGTGATGAGGGTATGACATCGATGTTTTTGCAGGATATTTTATTTTTACCATCTGCCTGTCACTAAATAAGGTCGAGACTCCGGCTGATATAATGAGCTTTTCCAATTCACCGTCTTTAAATTGAACCTTAGCGTCTGTATTCGTGTGGCGCTTCAAACAGGCGCAGAAAATTAAACAATTAGGCAACAAAAAGTGCAGAATCCATTAGGGTTGTTTGCGCCCAACGCCCTTTAACCCTTTCGGGCTCAATTAATTTTTTATCACTCTATTAATCAATTTTCTGAAAAATCTTCGATTGAACACCCACACAAGAACTTTGCCTTTTTTTACTCTTCTAACACAGGATGAATCAAAGGTTATTTTTCTTTTTGTTGCATCGGTTCCATCAAGCAATTTAGTAAAATTTTCAGCAGCTGCTTACTCCTCGTTCAGATATTTGAGCGTTTGGCCTCCTCACTCATGGAGAGCGGAGGCAAAAAAGTTTTTTAAACGTCCGTTAAAAATCTGTGATAAATTCCTGGTAAAATGTGGGAATTATGCAGGAAACCGCCAACATTGTCATCGGCGCCTATTTGTGTGATGTTTTTTGTTAGGCCTGAACTTTATAGTTCAAAATGGCAGAATTTCGCAGATTTGATCGATGTGCAGTCGTTTGGAGGTAGAAACTTGTTTGGGGTTGATGCAAATGAGGCTGGAGCCTAAAGAGAGTACAAACAATATTTTGGCCCTAATCAGTTACGAAAAATTGCATGTTTTTCTAAGAAAAGCGTTTGACGACATCAATATTAAATATCTTACACCATCAACTGTAAAATTACTTGGTTCAATACCGGGTGTTTACTAAGTAATTGTAAGTAAAGAGTGTTTGCATGAAACTCCCTAACAGAAATGATTATCAGAAAACTGCCGAAGAAATTTTCAAGTTTCGCATTTTATCACAATAGAGCGCAATTGAAAAGTAAACATTAAAAACCAAAATTTTAAGAAAATTTAAATTCTTTGCAAATTTGGCCTCAATTTTCTTCAAGGCTCATAGTGCGGACCCTGATAGAAGTGGGGAAAGCCATAGCAAATGTTAATATTTAAATAGCAGTAACTTGCAAACTGCTTGTTCGATTTTAATAATTTTAACCGTGTTTGGAAGCTAAATAGCAGAACTTTTTACCGTCGCATCCCCCAGAGCCCATATTGCAAACCAACATTGCCAGAGAGCGCAATTTCTCACACTAACAATTTTTTCTACTTTTTTTAAGTGTACACATTTAAATCGCTGTAGCTTCTAAACGACCCGATTTTAGAAATTTTAAGTTTGTTTGGATGCAGAATGTTAGTACTTTTCAGTGTTGAACAACATCGCTAGAGAGCGAGATACAACAAAAGCAAACTGCAGTCCACACGTTCTCTTTAGGTCTTATAAATAAGGCGTTAGAAAAATCTGCATATATTGCTATTTTTCTAGTAGAAAGTTTGCAAATGTAAAAAATTACCATCTTCGGCCCATGATAGAAGAAAAAAACTGATTAAAATTGGTCCTAAGATTTACTGCATTTATTCGGTCAACTATCACAATTGAAAATCCATGAAAATTTCCTAAATACGAAAAAAAATCCCGTTTTCCCAACTAAAGAAATATAATACTTCCTGGATAAAGTCGCAATGAATATGGATAGTTCAATGTTCGAAAATCATAGACTTCAGGCAAAATTCTCCGTAACTAGCCATTAGAAAACGAAACTGAATCCTGTTTAAAAACGAACGCACCTTCCAACTGTTATTTTTAGTAGTGAAACTATTAATTATACGAAAACAGACACACGGCCGTTATCCACGCTTCGCTGAGCCTCAGATCATGAAAAATGTTTAATTTTATTATGCGCCGGGAATTATTTGCGAAATAATCGAGCCCGATCCACACAAAAGTTGTCATCGGTGGCCCGAAATAGTGTTTTGTCGCTAAAAATACCAAATTTTTCGAAAATAACCGGTTCAAATGTGCAAAGTGAATAGATTCGCTTTGCACCAACAGCGTAAGTTATTTTGAAGGTTTTGAAAGTGTTCCTAATAGTTCCTTGGGAGATTTTGGTTTGGCTTCATCAAACTAATTTAAACTAATTACATGGCTTTGAGGGTTTGATATGGTTTAAAACAGCTGCTGTTCAGCAAATGCATTTGTTTAAGCCCAGCGGCGTTTTACATGCGACTCGAGGAACGCAAATTTGTGCGTCCAAAGCAAACACATTTTAATCCAATTTATAAATTTACGCCACTTTTGAGCACATTAATTTGCCGAAAACAGCGCTGTACATTAAGGGCTTAGTGCTCGTAAAACCCTCTGGCCTATATTAAATGTTTCCGGGATAAACTCTATCCATTTAGCTTTTGCGATAACTTACTCCTAGCACTTTGAAAATGGCTCGATTTTTCGGGAGTTCGCTCCATGATCGTATCCAAATTGAAGCATTTTCCCAAATACACTAGTTGGTATCAGCGAGAATATAAGCACAGTGGAAGTTTGCCGAAATAATGAGAATCCATGTTTATAGCGGAAAAGCAAATTGGGCCCTAAACAAACCATTTTAGCGCCGAACAATAAGAATATCTTTTGAGCTGCACTGGAGACACCTGATACCAAGCAGCGGGCAAATAATGCTGCTGCGACTCAAAAAATGCATTACATAAAATGTATTTTAAAGCGCATTATCAAGATGAGACTTTTATATAAAGCGAAGCCTTTTGTTATTTAATACGGAACGTGCGTTTTTCGAAAATTGGTGTCTTTGGGCTTAATCCACATTACTTGCAAAAATGAATAAAATGATGGCAAAACTTGCTTCATGCTTCCAGTTTAATTGATGATTTATTGATTTAAAGCTTTAAGAAGCTACTCAAAAAAAACCATTAAAGTGGTAGTAAAATTAAAATACGCACAGTTGCTCAATGAAATTGATTGCTTCGCGTTTAACGCGCTATAAATAATTTTATTGGACCATAAAAGCATCCTCTTACCTTTTGACTTTCTCATTCCCTCAAAGCGGTTCAGTCAGAATCACCACCTGGAAAAAAATAAATTTTAACTAAACACTTTCAACTGCAGCCAACTACTTTTGGGTAAACAGAAGTGAATAAACTTTTCTAGGAGATTGGCAGAAAAAAACTGCTAGAATATTGTTTCTTTCTTTGTTGCGTGCATTACAAACGGTGTTCTGGAAGCTTTCCATTAAGCATTTATTAGATTGTGTGTTTTATCGACAGCACTGGCAAGTGGGAAACTTTTTGCCAAGGCTGATTCGCTTCGTGGATCTCTAATGGAAGATCATATTTTTGCCACTTAAGAAGTTTCCAATTGAACAATCCAATTTTCTGCTTCGAATATGTGCCAGCGACTCAATAAAATACCTTTTGTTGCTTCGCTGATAAAGCGGAAGCTTAGAAACAAATATACAATCTTGATTAAATGAGACGTATTTTAAAGGCCCCTCTTGGTATATTCGGTTCATTACTGAACCAAATTGGCTTGTCCTCAGACAATTCGAAGGAAAAGTGCGCGATAAATTAAACTTATCTCCCTAATCCCCATATTCTGGACAATTTATCCATTCTCCCATTTCCATTTTCCATTAGGCCAGATCCAAAGTTCAAAGGCATTTAAAATTCAGTTCGTCTTTAATGATTCCGCGCAAGTCTATGGCTTACAGTGAACGTTTGCTAGAAATCTAATTGAAATTGGAGTTTGAGATCGGGGGGGTTTTTAACAGCATATTCTGGTAATAAAATCCATTGGGATCAACGTGGAATACAGTTTAAAGCTAAAAGGACGCTGAGGAATGAATAATGCTTCCACATCAAGCATGGTGCATTTTTAATGCTTCGGTAGTCCGAGCCATCAGTTACCGTGGAACCCAAAGCGCCATAAATCTGTCTGGATATTTAGTATGGAAAGCAGCAGAAGAGCGATCAGGAGCACGCTGTCATGTTAGAAATATAGCCAGTATTTCAACTAGCCGCAGGCATTTTTTCGATTTTCCTCCTAATTTCAACGTGTCGCCTGACTAAACTGCTTGCTGACAGAAAATTTCTCCAGGAATCTTCCATGTACATCGGCATTCCTATGCGAGGCCTATCATCGAGTGCCGGTGGCATTTTCTATGGCCATGCGGAGTAAATTATCAAAGCTGCAACCTACTTCCTGCAAAAGCTCGACGTGACTAGCATTGTTATTTATTAACGTTGCAGCGAAACGTAGGGAAATGCGCTTATAAAACCGAAGAGGATTTTCGTTGTCACAGAACGCCAGTTTGTTACTTGAATAGTATTGAAGTCGATATATAAGGATAATAATAAGAGCAATCGAGGGACACCGGTGGCTTCCACGCTCCAAATCAATAGGAGTAGGATGGTCAATAAACAATTTTTAGTCGGACAGGAAACATATGGAAAAATATCGTGAGTCGCAGCCTTAGTAGGAGGGTTTCAGATGCGAAACATCCTGTATAGGGTGGTGAAATGTGCATTTTAAATTCCTAAAAATGACCAAAAATGTATACCTCAAGCTGCAAGCGTTATGGTAAATATCAATAAAGGTCTGTCATATATGCATAAGTTGCGAAGCAAATGAAATTTTCAACTTTTACTTCAAAACGTATCCAAACTAAGCTTGCCAGGAATTTTCCTGCAAAAATTGCAATCCACTTTAGATAATTTAACTTATTCAGAATTTGAACCTAGTAATGTCCAAACTGATAAATAAAATTTCGGACATTCGTTAGAGAAAAACGGCTCTATTCATTTGATATTTTTATCGGGCAATAAAATTCCGTGTGTATCATATACGCAAAAATTGTGGATCCGTTGAAAAAATATAATAATATATTCGCTATCCGACAAGGATTGTAAAGAGCCGAGTTTCTATTTATTCATCTTCAATTGCAAAACATACTGTACAAAATATAAAACAATTTAAAAATTACGACATCTAAAAAATTATATTTTTTTTCGTTTATAGTTGCAATTTTAGATAAGTTCTTAAATAATTTCGACCAATAGTAATTTTACAAATAATGCACAAGCAGAATTATGCAAATATTTGACCGGTGTCAAGACAAGAACCCATTTTTGAAAATTGTCGACGGTTTGGACTCATTCATACTAAGTTCAGCATTAATATTTCTGCAAACGTTGCAAACAGCATTGCAATTTTCCAATTAATGCATGCAGTTTAGAACATTAAATTGCAAAAGACTGGCTAGAAAATAAATAAACTTCCATTGTTATTCGAGACAAATCAGCAAAACTGGTTAAAGAAAAACAGTTTTATTGACTTCAGATATTAATAGAAAGATAAATGTGTGTGTATAATACACGCTTCAATTGTGAAGACGTTCAAGTAAAACATGAATTCTGGCTTTGCCATCAGATAAGGATGGTAAAAAGCGGAACAAGTGTTTAATAATATTCCATTGCAAGATGTTCAGTATAAATTTTAAATAAAAAATGCAAACAATCTGCAAAATTGCTCTTCAAATTTTATATAAGAATTTCTGCTCCCAATAATTTTTAAAATCATTCACTAAATGAGTGATGTGATAATTGGATCTGGCGCAAAACCAAACCCTTTTTTAAAGTTGCCGACGTTCTGCATTTACTTAGGAGTGCATTAACTAATTAAACACGTCGAAACGCCGGCAATTTTGGAAAACAATTATTTGTTTTTGTGTTATTCCACTGCGTTATTTAGTCAGCGAATATTTTTCATAGCAAAACATTCTGTATTAATTGGAAATATGTCTAGTCATCGGTCCGGCATAAATTCGAGTAGTTACCAAAATTTCTATTTACTACTAAAACCATATTTAAATCAATCGAAAATTTTATTGAAAAAATTGAGGTGTGTCATATCCCTATAAATTATGAATACCAACGGCCGAAACATTAAATTAATCGATCGCAGTTGGAAAAGTTATATTTAAGTCGTCATAATGAAAGAACTAACAAGTTTTCTACACAATCAATGGAAAGAAAAAGGCGATTTGATTTCTTTTCCCGCTTTAAAAGAGCTATGATATTACTGGCGAAAGAAACTTCAAACCTAAGAATAGTATAAAGTGGAATTGAAAAATTCATTGTAAGAAAATATTAGCATTTTTTGAGTGAACTATTTTCTAAAAATCGTTAGCCAGGTCTATTGAATAAAACAACAAATAAAACATCCGTTTTAAATTACACTTAAAAAATTTCAAAAATATAAATCGGTGCGTATCATACTTGCATAAATTGTGACAACCATCAAGTAAAAAGTTAATTCGGTGCTCACATTTGAAAAGCCATGTAAAATGATCCCCCTTGAAAAAATACATGCCTCTTCTCGATAATTTAACTTATTTAGAAATGAAAAATTTATTTTCCCCGAATATGTATTCCGCCCATATCGTGCCGTATGCCTTTAAGGATTTTTTCCCGAATTCGAGAAAGCAATAAACGTGAGCGGTCGGAATATACGGTTTTGGATTGAATTCGTTCAAAATACGTGTTTTACGTGCTTTCAGTTGCCACCATCAAGCCCTATTTAGCGTGCAGGCCGTTCTCGTACACCTGCAAGAAGAATTACCCGATCTTCTAACGCAAAGACCCAAGCACAAAGGTAATTTTATTAAAATTTCCCAAAGTGAGCTGAGTAGTTAAAAAAATCAATTTATCACGTTAAAGACGTTGTCGTCTGCTTTGCCCACTTTTTAAATACATTAGCGTCGCGTGATGCTAAACTTCCTTTAATAAAATTGCTAAATTTTAGAAGCTGAATATTATTAAATTGATTATAACGCGTGGGCTGATTGGCTAATGATGACTAAACCCGACTTCAATCTTGCAAATGTTTCAATGAAAGCAACTAATTGAACTCGATTTGTATCTACAACTATTCATATAAACGTAATTATTTCACGTCGTCAAACATTTTCATTATAATTCCCATTCCTCTGCCTCGGTAATATCTGTAAAGTCACGAATGATCAATCAAAGTCGCACAGTCTAATATTTTAACGAAATAACTCAGAAATATTAACGTCTAAACGTTGTCTGTTAAAAGTAGAGATGTTCCACTTAAATCGGAGAGCAGAGCTCTTCGGCTTTTATTGTTAACGGGTTACTTAAAGACATTTCATTAAATCGCTTTTATCATGAACAATATTTATGAGTCTGGAAATTTCTACGGGGCAACGACTAAAATTATTTTGTCGGGCTTCAGTAAGTAACTTGAAGCAAACAAGTTCGACTCTGAATCGGCACATTTTCAGTTACAAATTTCTTACTCGACGTTATCCAAAACCAGTTAAACCAGACGATTCATCTGTTCCACACTATTTTCGAGTTGACTTATAACAGTAAAAAATTTACGACCACCCGTAACACCATAAAAGGGGAAGATCTAATTTTAGATAAAACAAAAGTTCCAGCCGCCTTGAGATTTTTTCCCACACAATCGTAAATAAGCAGTAAACCATCATTTTATCCGAAGATATTTCGTTGTAAACTTTACGATCGGTTTCAGCAGAAAGAAAATCGCGTTTTATATGATTCGGAATCCTGTCAGCATTACGCGAATCCAAATAATTATCGGTCACAGATTAAGCGCAAAAAATATCATTTGCTGGAAATTGGAAGCTGGAAGTTTCTCGGGAAAATTGGCAAAGAATTTCTGTTTAGAGACAACCATTCCAGGGAATTCGAAAGTTTGGTGATTTTAGCAGGAACACTATAGGTGGGATTGACCTGCAACTTTTCTGCTATAAGCTCCAGGTAGTGAAAACTTTGCACCGTTTGCCACAACATAAATAACTTGAAAATAGTTTGCACATTCAAAATTATACACTTTTGAATGCATTTGTTCGACTAACAATAGCTTTAAAAATCTGTACTTGTACCACACATAAATCACGTTTATCAGGAGCTTCCTGAAAAACCCGAAATATTTTTGGACACTAAAAATACTAAACTACATCATGAATCAAAAAACACTATCGGCAATAACCAATGGAAATTGGCCATAAACGCGTTTTTT